TATTTCTAGGGGAACAATAACCGACAAAAAAGCAATTTTCGATTTCCCAGACAGAACCTGCATAACCATAATAATGTAATAAAGTGCCCCGTTTGGCCCCCATTCTTCCCAAATTTTAATGGTTAGAATATTTTTTTTTTTAAATGTGTGATTGAAAAATAATGAAAAGTTTTTTATTTGCGTGTAATATTATTTTATGGAAGATTATGTGGTAGAAAATAAGGTAGAGAAAAAGAATGAGAATGAGAATGAGAAAGGGAGCAGTATATAATTGTTTGTTGTTTAAAATTTGGACACTTTTTTGGGTTGAAATGTGAATGAATTACTGATGATATTGGAAAAATATTGGATGAAATTGGAAGGTAAAGTTAGGTGATTTATGCTTAACCATGTGTAAGCATAGGCTAAATGACCGTGTGTAAGCACAACATGTTTGCAGACAACAAAAGCAATTTTGCTTCTACTATGCATACATAACAATGTATCCATGTGTACGCATGGTTCAAAAATCTAGCTGTTGGGCTGATTTTTTATTTGAATTTTGTGGTGCCTTTTGGTGGAAAGTTCCCAACTTTTCACGAGTGTTTGGAGCATTTTCATGGCATATTGTTAGAAATCTATAGATTTTCAATTCCAAACATAAGAAAACAATAAAAGATATTTCATTTATTTCCACACTGGATTTTTCCTCATTCTAATACATATTCAAACATTTTTCAATTTTTTAGCAAGTTCATAAAGAAAGAATCATTTTGTTTTTGTACTTCTTTCTTGAAAGCTTGTCAATCCTCTAAACTAATTGATTTTATAGTTGTATTCTGTTTTGGAATTTTTCATTTTTCTTATCCTAAAGTAGAGTTTACATTGGATTGCACAAGTTGAAGCTTAATAGATTTGGAATAATTATCCTAATATTCTATACACAAATTTATGTATGTATACACTTGCAATTGAGATATAAATGTCAGAATGAAAAAGGAAAAAGGCAAATCTTGAAGCTCTTTTTTTTTTTTTTTTAGCTCAAAATTTTTTTTTTTTTTGTTAAAGAGACTTGACATTATCTTTAAAAGTAGTTTAAAAAGAAAAAAAAATGAAAAAATAACAAGACAGTTTACGTGGACTTCTCGATTCAACTTTGTTTGCGCACTTCAAAAGAAGATATGGATGAGGAATTAATCAAGGCCCCGTTTGGTACCTATTTTTTTCAAAATGTATTTTTCTCTCTCTCTTCTTTTCAACCACACATTCTTTATTAAAATAATATTACACGTAAATAAAAAAAATTCTTTATTTTTCAACCACACATTTCCCATCAATTTACTATTCAAAAATAAATTTTTATATAAAAAAGTCTCCCAAACAGCCCCAAATTAAAAATTGAATCTTGTGTAAGAAGCAAGAAATTTCGAGTTGACTTCTAACTCCACATTTCATTAATTTTTGTATTTATGCAAATCTTCTTTTTTTCCTTGTTGCAATACAATTTCAATGTGCATAGTTTGTAGGTAAATATTAGAGAATCAAATCAAATCGAAGGCCTGTGTATTCACTGTTTCTTTAAATCAAATTCGCCGCCTGACCGGAGTGCAAGAGGTTTTGATCGATGTTCGATTCCCAAGATACAATCAGTTGTCGGTTCACGTTGCACTACGTTAACCGCCTGCGAACTAGCTGTGATATACTCTATTTCACAAAGAAATTATAAGCACAAAGAAGAACTTGAAAGTGAGAAAAAGAATATTGTTGCTTAGAGGAAGAAACTTGCATTTCACTTGTAATTTTCCAAACTAGAGAGACTCCTATTTATACCAATGGAAGAAAAGCTAGCTCATTAATCAAGGAGTTAAACCATTCATTGATAACGGAGTTAAAAACATGAAGGGACTTGAGTTACTTGAGTTACAATATATGAAGAGACTTCTATTCAATATTTTTCATTACTTCTATTCAATATTTTCCATTCAATTCTAACAATCCCCCACATGAATGAAAAATGGTAACTAAGACTTAAGAGGAAAGAGAGAATAAAACGAATCAATCCTGCATAGGATAGGTAGCATTTAGCTTTGAACCTTCTCTTGTGAAACCTATCGGGAATTACTAGCAAACCAATGGATCTGATACCTTGAACTGTTTCGCCATTTGTGTAAACCAAGACAATAGATCTTACACAAGACCATTCTAGTTACATCATAGTTCTTACTGTTGTGTTCGTTTTGGCCATGAACACGTCGCCTGGTTCTGCAAGTATTTTTTCAAGGATGTAGTCTTGCCAATCCTTATAGAAGCGGGCCCACTTCACACTCACATAGGTGACCTCTTAACTCAATTTTTCACAACAACGCTTAATGGTCATTAAAAGCATAGTTTAACCTGCATCTTCCAATCATTGTGAGCACCATAGGAATGAGCAGAAGGAGAACATTCTCAGTGATTTATACAGATATACATGTTTTAGTTGTCCCTTTGAACCTAGATCCTGGGATCTCCATTCAGCTAGGTTGGGTTTTCAC